CTGTTTCCCTGGTCAGGGAGCCGCACACAGGGATGTGAGGCACTGCTGAGTATTTGGGGAATGAACGTAGAATTGTGGAAGCATTTGCTTTCTCTGTGGGATGAAAACACTTATTTTATTAACCTTTGGCTCTGTCTGCATTCAGTTTTCATCTCTAAACCCACACAGGATTTGTGGACCAGGGTAAAATTAATGAAGAACCTATTTCAAGATTAGGATTTTTTGATATCAACCCCCAAAACACTCATCAACCAGGACAGTGGTTTCTCAGCCTAGTCCATAGTTGCTGTTCATGCACACTATAAAAACCCAGTTTCATTCATTCTGATGAAAATCCCATAAAGGAAAATACATTGAAAGAGTGATGGTCAAAAATATGATGCATTTGCACTCCTAAAATGCAGGCTGGTGTTGCTGAATTTGCACATTGTAACTGCAAAAGGCATGAAATCCTTAAAATACTCCTGCAATGGTCTTATGCTGAATGAGGAGCTTTATGAATATTTCAATTACAAGATGAGGCTTGAAAGGATGGAGTTGTTTCAATTTTGAATCACCCTTCCTTAAATAACTTGGCCTATTTGGTATGAAATGAGACTCAGTTAAATCCAACAGCCCCTCCACATGCACTGGGTAAGGATGGAGCCTCATGAGATGGAACCACCTCCCTGTGCCCCTTTACTGCTTGGGATAGACCAGCCATCCCCTTGGGCAACCATCCCCCTTGTCATCCCCTTGGGCAGAACCCCCCTGTTCAGATGCCTCAAGGCACTTCCCCTCCTTGTTGTTATTTACAGTATTTGAGTGTTAAATTAAAGGCTCAGCTTTTTGCTGTGCAGTGCTACACCTGCCCCCCTCTGCATCAGGGATAGTGGCACTGCAGCAAACAGCACAAAGCCATTCTTATTCTTTTGGGATTGAAGAGATACCCAGGAGCAGCAAATATCACTGCTGAGCTCCTTTGTACACCCAGGTACAGAGAGGGCACTGAATTCCTCCTCTGTCCTACTCAGAGAGGGACTAGGAGGCAAATACTTTGTGAATACACTTCATGACCTGGTTCTGATCTCACTAATCCAACCAAAATATAGAATTGATTCTGAGGAGTTACTCCTGGTTTTACTGGAGTTAATTAAACCAGGCTGTTGGGTTTTTTCCCTCATTCAGATCAGCCCACTGAGATGGATCCTCTACTTGCTTGTACAGTGACATTCAATGCTTGTTAAACTGAAGTAGCTCTAGAATTGCATTCAGATCAGAACATGAAATACAGATTTCAGTGGAACTTTAGATTTCATGCTTCCTGGGAAAGTAGTTGCATGTTTGTTCTACCTGGTTCTACCTTAAGCAGGACAACTCAACAGTCCTGCAAGGCAAATAACAAACTTCCTCCATCAAAGCTGCAGAATCAGGATTTATTTTTTAGCTGAAGGGATTCACCAGCCCCAGTTGTTCAGCAGAGCCTTTGTGTGCATTTTCTTATGCACAAGAGCATCTGAAAATCCAACTTTTCCCTCCGTTCCCTAAAGCATCTCCACATTTCCCTGAGAGAGAATGACCACCCAAAATGAAATCAGAATATGGTCTTGACTTCTTCACGGAATAAAATGCCAGCAGTTAGTTCTGCTGCTTCTCACAGCCTTCTAGATGACCAGGCACCCTGGATATGAAGTGTCACTCAAAGCAGACTTTCAGTAGTTAATCACTGTTCCACCAGCCTTGAAATGGAAACCCTTTTCTGCATGGACTCAAAGCTTGTCTGGTTTCCCCGTACCTTAATTAAGCATCTTCTCCATCATCTGCCAAACTGCTGCTTAACACATCCTGGCAACCTGCCCCTCATATATTGCAGCAGATATGGCTGGCAACAAGCAGAGCTTATCATGGGGTATTAATTACTTGAGCATAAATAACATTCCCTCTTTTCTCAGCTTCATGATCTGCTCTTTCTCATGGAAATATATTTGTAATAACGAGAGAGACAAAACAATGAGGCAGTAAATTTAAGCCTAAAATGAGTGACGAGTCTCGCAATGAGTGAAAGTTAATTCCAGGCAAAATAAAATGAGAAGTAAATGTGCAAACAGTCACTTTGATTAACCACTGGAAACAACTGCCACGGAAGGGCTGGATTTTTTCATGATATCACAGAATCCCAGAATATGCTGAGTTGGAAGGGGCCCAGAAGGATCACGGAGTCCAACCCTCAGCCCTGCACAGGACACTCTAAAAGTCACACCAGGTGCCTGAGAGCATTGATATCTTCAGATCAGCTTAAGAAATATCCTTTAGTCAAAATAAGGAGTCTAAATAAGCATAAATATGAAAACTCATCCAGGAGAAAAAAGCACACAAAGCACACGGGTCAGCTTGGCCATCCAGGAGCACCAGTGGCACTGCCCAAGACCAGAACAGCTCAAAGGCTGGGCCTGGGAAAGCAAAGGATGGAATAAACTCAGTGGGTGTGCAGGGATCCCTCCCACTGCATTCCCAAGCCCTCCATGAAAGCAAGGAGAACACAAAGCCTTGCTGGGAGCAGAGCCTGCTCATCAGCTCTCCTGCTACAGAAGTGTTTCCAGCTCCTGCCACAGGGAGGAAAATAAAGCACCAGAAACGCAGCTTTTGGTTGCTCCAAACCTCTCATTAATGCCTGCAGGACACAAACACACCTGGGATCCCATTCTGCCTCCAGCCCCGACTCTGACACATGTGCTGTGTGTGCCAGGCAGGGTTTAGCTCTGGGCTGTTGGGAAATCATCTCAACGTGTAGTTCTGCCTGTTGGGAAGACAATTTATATGTATGTGGAGGCACCTGGACTCGTGAGGAATAATAAAGCCCTCAGGGGGTGTGTTAAAATGCAGGATTCAGGCAGGAATGTTTGTGTTTGGGAGTATATTCTGTGTACACACACAACAGAGGCAGCTCTGAGAGCTGCTGTTCTGTACAAATGCATAAGTGGCTCCTACAGAAGTTGTGGATGGATTCTGTTGTGAATTTGGCTTATCAGTGATACATTCATAAAGCAGATGTAATTATTCAGTCTTTTGAATATGTATTTTTAGCTTGTTTACTGGGTGCATTATGGAAATGTGAATGGCTATTTGTGCATGAATAGTGTGTTTACAGGTTATAAATGTTTCTTGTGGAGTATTAGTTAATATTTTTTTAAAGTACACTGATGAGTGTCTAGTTTATACTGGATATTTATGTGGGTGGACATATCTATGTGAGCTATTTGAACTCACATAAGAGATGCAGACTTGTATTTAAATGTTCATTAAAACAGAGAGTGGGTCTATTATGTTTTTATTCCCGTGGTTTATTGTCCCTGTGGAACAGTGGGGAAACTGATATAATAAAGTGATATAATTTCCAGAGATGACAATTCTGGAAGAGGTGCTATCCCTTCCTTTCAGAAAACTTCAATATGCCCCCTAAATCTCTCTTTGGGATAGATTTCAGGAGAAGGACAACCCTGGAGCCTGCCTGCCATGCTTTGGAAAGGATAGGACTGGATTGTGTCACCAAACCCAAAAAACTCATGGCCAGGCTGCACAACTTGAAAATATGGTTTAAAAAATATACAAAACATGTGATGCACCCAGCTCTGGGGGACACCCTCCTCCAGATCTGCCCAGCTCATTGAGGAATGAGCTGTGTCTCCAATTGTAGAGACCCAGGGAAGTTCTGTGGCTGCTGCTCCCATGGGCACTGTTGGAAGCACTGATTTAACTTGGCCAGATTTGCAGATTCCAAGCACAGAACGAGGCCATGAAGCCATCAGAGCACAGAGCTGCTCCAGGGCTTTGTTTGAGAGGGGAGAAACACCTTCCTTGTCTCCCATCCCCTGCACTGGGATGCATTTTCACCCTGCTCCCCAGCCCAGCCCTCAGCAATTCTCCAGCCAGCAGTGTCCGATGTGGCACAGCCGGAATTCCCAGTGTGCAGGGCTGTGAATTCCCAGAGTTGACAGTGCCAGGAAGGAGCAGTTTTGTGTGATGAAGTCTCGAGGGCAATGAGCAGAGGAAAGAGGGGTTTGGATGTTTGGAGGTGGTTCCTTCTCTCTGGTTCCAGCCAGGAAAGGGAAGGTGTGCAGGGAATCCAGGGCCCTTCGCAGGCTCTCCCAGGAGGGACCCATCAAACCCTGTTCAACTGAGCTGGACAAGGCAGCTCGTTGGGCAGGGCTTACATAACATCCCTCTGAGAGCTCAAACTGCCTCTGCCTTGCACACATCCTTTGCAGTTTTACTTTCCACTCCCATCTCCTCCGTTAGTTCACTGCAGCTACGGAGTGAAAAAATTCTGAAAACCGGTTTTGACACATAATTATCTTGCAGAGGTAGGGGGAGAAGAGAAGGGATCAGAAAAAGAACAAACTCTTCTAAGAATCTGATTTTTCTCCTTATTTTTTGCCCCCTGTTCCTCTGAGGCTTAGGATGGAAAAAGAGGAAGCTGAGCAGAAAAACTAAGATGAGATCTTTGGAAAAACACTGTTCTCTCCCAGTCTGCAAGATGCTTTCTAGAACTGACTAGTGTTTCAGATGAAGTTACTTCACTTGGAAAGTTCCTGTGTAACATAATGGTAATTCCTGTATCCTGGAGGCCAAACTGGCTGCTGGTTCTTAACATGGGATTAAGTACAACAGAATCATGATGTGTTCATTCTGTCACCTCCTTAAAAAAAAAAGAACAAAACTCAAATTTCTCTTTTATCTACATTCTAACAATCTATCTCTAAAGTATCTCTGGTCCCTATAGATAATATTCTCCCCTTTGTTTCCATGTCAATAAGACATATTTCCAGTTTATCTTGTCTTTGTATTAATATAAAGAGGTAAAACCATATTTCAGGTCCTGAGTGTGCAGCTCAGTCCATCCCTACTACAATGCACATTTATTTCACAGTCCACTCCTATATGGAAAATAACTCTTCCATATTATATATTCTTCATTCCATTTAATAAAGAAGTAGTTCTGCAGGTGTCTTATTTTTTCCACCAAAGTTTGAGAGATAAGATTTTCCCCAACAAGGCCAGGTTTTTCCTGTGTTGTTGGAATTTGTGGAAATCTTTCATCTCACAGACTATTTTTCCTCATTCCTTTTCTGGACAGGACAAGTCTCTTTGGGAAATCTGGTTCTCTGCCCCTTCTAAAGATCGAAACTGGTGGCTTCAGTTGTGTCAGTGTGTGTTCCCATTACAGGAACATCAGCATCTCAACCTTTATTTTAAATACATACTTTGCAGAAGAGCAAAGAATTTTCTGAACTACTCCAGGGACTCTGAAAGTCCAAAACATTTCAAGTCCCAGATAGCTACTTCCTTTGTTTGAAATCATCACTTGGAACTGAAACTCGAACATCCAGACCAGAAAAAAACCTTCATTGGGTCAAGATCTAAATTTACTCGGATCATGGGCAGCCTGTGAAAGGTGTCAGAGATTCCATGAAGAGATGACACAAAGCACTTCAGTTGGAGAAGACAAAAAGACAAAATGTTGGATAAATATGCTAAAGGTTTGCAGGGAAAGCTGCCCTGTTCATATCAGATTTTGCAGCAAATAAATCACAATGCCTGTGATCCTGGAGGAAAACACTGAAATCTATTTGTAAAATTCAAGAAGGCAAAATACTTCACTATATACAAGAAGACTTTTTTTTCCTTTTTTTTTTTAATTTAACTGTAACAATGTCTACAATACATTGACTCACAAATTAAGTGAAGGTATGAAATCACATTCTTCATACTGAGATGGGCCATTCTGGACTTTTTGAACCCCCTCGGGAAGGAGAAGAGTTCTGAATGTCCAACGAACACCTTTTGAAACAACCAGTGGTGGGAATTTCAGTTTTACCGGCGGTGAGATGGAGTGAGCCTCGTCCACAGGGATCAGAGAGCTTTGCAGGGGAGAGCAAAGCCTGGCTGTACAGAGGAAAGGGAGGGAACCGAGGCACTGCTGTGCTGGGCTCGCCAGGATCGCGCGGCAGGAGCAGAGCTCGGACACCGATCCCAGCCTGGCTCCCGGTCCGTTCCCGGCTCTCCACACCAGTCTCCCAGTGGGTGTGGGTGGGTCGGGTGTTATACGGGCATCTCTCCTGCTGTGCCATTGGCTCCATCCAATCCTGCCGGCTCCCTGCCTTCCTCCTCCTCCTCCTCCTCCTCCTCCCGGGCTGTCTCTGCCTCCCTGCCCCCGCTGAGCAGGGTGGCACCGCAGAGGTGACCCAGGAGCTGCCCTTCCCGGCGGGACTCGGCCAGTTCCTTGGCACAGCACACGGGGGTGTTGGTCTCGTAGGTGCTGTGGAAGCTGTTATAGTCCACCTCGTAAAAGTCCTTCTCCAGGGTGAGCACGGGGGTGAAGCGGTGTCCCCACAGCACCTCGGTGTCCATGTAGGAGCTGCGAGCCTGGCAAGTCATCCCTGGGCAGAGAGAGAGGGATATTAACGCAGCGCTGGCTCAGCGCTCACCCGACCGCTGCGCTCCCCTAAAAGCACTTTCGTGTCGTTCCAGCCCTGGTTGCTCTGGGACACACGAACGGCTTCGCTTAACGAGCCTCACAAAAGCCTCCGCCACGAACAGCTGAGACCCCCGGGAAAGGGACGGATTCCTGGGATTCCGTGCCCTCCCTCCCTGCCCCTCGTGCTGTGCTGCTGGCACCGCCAGGGAATGGGAATGAGAACGGGAATGGCACGGGAACAACCCCCGGCCCGGCCAGGGCACCCCAACCCTGACCCACAGAGCCCTGAGCAGGGGGAGCCGCTTCCCTGCCCTCCCCCGGGTCCGACCCCATCCCTCCCCAGCTCCAGCAGGGCTAGAATTCCCTGGGAAGGGAAGGTCTGGGAAGGTTTGGGGAGGGGAGGGGAGGAGAGGTTTGGGAAGGGAAGGTTTGGGAAGGCTTGGGAAGGGAAGACTTGGGAAGGCTTGGGAAGGAAGAGAAGGTTTGGGAAGGGAAGGTTTGAGAAGGTTTGGGAAGGGAAGGTTTGAGAAGGTTTGGGAAAGGGAAGGTTTGGGAAGGGAAGGTTTGGGAAGGTTTGGGAAGGTTTGGGAAGGGAAGGTTTGGGAAGGTTTGGGAAAGGGAAGGTTTGGGAAGGGAAGGTTTGGGAAGGTTTGGGAAGGTTTGGGAAGGGAAGGTTTGGGAAGGTTTGGGAAAGGGAAGGTTTGGGAAGGGAAGGTTTGGGAAGGTTTGGGAAGGTTTGGGAAGG